TATTTTATCGATAACGATAAAATAATTGCATCATGAAATTAAGGACAAAGTAAAAACCTTATATTTTATATTTTCTCTTACTTGAGTAATTAAATCCATATATACATAGATGTTTTTAAATATTAAATGATTAGCACGCAAATATAGAAATTAACGCAAATATAGAAATTAACCATCGCTGTAATCAGGTTAACCATCTCATATTATATACAACGATATACTTGATATTTTTCCAAATTATTCAACGGACCGTCATGCGCGAATGTACGCAATTACTCGGGAAAGTAATTACTTCTGCCGCGATTACGATTTCAAGCACCAACGGGAAAAAGAGAGACAAGCGTGTTTAATCGCGTTGCGCGTGATGTCGTTTCTATTCGCTGTTGAAAAGCGTACGTGCTATTCGCTTTTATGTAAACCATGCGAGCAGCGAGATCAACAATATGTGACCAAATGGCGCGATATATGTTACCGGTCCTTCGATAAGTTTACGTTAAATGACGCGCTGCGGAACGCGCGATTGAAAACGAACGTGATATGATTTCAATTGAATTCGCGCATCTATTACCCAATCGGGTGTTACTGGCCAGCAAATCATAATCGACAGAACTAATTCGGTATGCACACAACACAGCTAGTGATATTAATTTCACTTGTCATTGGATTTCAATGAATGTGTCCGGATCCGCATGCAAGGATACTGCTATAAATTGATCTTGCTGCAAAGAGCATGAATAGATAGTTTAACCGAAGAGCCATTATTGAGCCACATTGTCAAGCTATTGAAGAATTCACGATATGATCGTTTTACTCTAATTGATAATAATATTAAATAAACTTGTTTAAAAGATACATCGCGGATACATCAGAAGCTGAAAATTGACTCCTAATATTAATGTATTCAATGCTAAAGAATATTTAAAGATATTCAGACTAACATTTTGCTTTCGAACGAATGAGCATGTAATTATTTATATATTACGTAAAAGTAACAATATTAATAGCTAGATTTATAAAGAACTTACATGAAAAGAATTCTTCTTTTGAAAAATGATCAAATTGTCTGAGAGCACAAAGTATACTTCGCGGTTATGGTAGAATGGAATTTTAAGAATGGCGATTTATACGTACGAGTAGTATTTCCCACGAAATATTCACGAGATATCGACCATGCTGAAGTGGTCACGTGTTCGCTTTTTTGATGATTCATTGTTTTCGTTTTTTCTGCGCTTGGAGAATTCGCGCGTTTATCCAACGAAACACAGAAAACACTCATGATAAATAAATCGCGATTAGTTAATTCTACGTTCCTCAATTTAATTTATGCGGTGTCACGTTCTCACATCTAATTTTCAAAATCGCTCGACACGCTTTATCATCATCACGCCATCGAATGCATCGGTTCGTTACCGAGAGAGAACATTTCACAAATCTGTCTTCACGTGGAGCAGTCACACCTTTTCGCTCTTATATAATTATGAATGAAGGAGCGTCGACCGAGCGACAAGATTCGCGCAATCACAGAGAGAGAAGCGGTGCGTCACTAAATCCTTCCAGCACAGCTGGTCGGTACTTCCACGTGGACAACTGCAGCTCTCGCGCGAGGCGCATCTTCGCGGGGAATCCTGTGATTCTTGTGTCGCCGGTGCAGGGTGACGTACGATCGTTGCGAAAGGGTAGGTAAGACCGCGCGCCACTTCCGTCCCTCTAAAATACCGTTCATTCATCATGCCGCACTTACACTAACGCACCGCGCCGCGCGAACACCTTCACCCCATAGGGCAGCGGAGGGACGCAGAGGGTGTTATGCACTCGGTGTCGTATATGCACCGTTCGCGAAAGGGCGAATAGGTGGGGAGGAGAGGTACAACGAGAGGTCGTACGAAGAGGTCGTGGGTTAGGTAGGGGACGATAAAGGGGGTAGGGAGCGAGAGGGAGATAGGTGCGTAAAGAGACCGGTGGGCGAAATGCTGCCGTGGTGGAGACCGCGACCCAACTGCGCCAGCGCTTAGCTAGATATCAGCCCCCGACCACCGACGTCAACTCTTACCACCACCCCCCGCTGCGATGCCCAACCATGCCGGCTTTCACCCACCCGCGTGCCACCCCTTGTGCGCGCCGTCATAGTCCCACCGTCGCGTCGTCGTCGTCGGCTGGGTTGATTGTGAGGATGGTTGGCCGTTGGCGTTCGCGCGATGGCATTTCCATTACTACCGCGGATATTGTCATCGATGACTTTTGTGTCATACTGCCCATTCGTTGCCACGCGCCGCTATTCTTGTGCTACAGGGCTATTAGGGTTGTTAGGTGGGTAAAAGCGCATATGTAGGGCTACAAACTACCGTTATTGCCTGTCTCGAGCTTGCCAATGCTGTCCGCGATGTTTAACGCCGGTGCTAGAAACGGTATTGACGTTGAAATAAAATTTATTGGCTTGGCTTGAAAATACCTCGGACGTTGCAATCTTTGGTAAATGTTACGCCTTTCAGTGGCTTGTCATGTTAGCGAATTTAGTAGTTGCACTTAATATACATTTATTGGTGACTATATATGTCGGTAATCTTTATATTTTTGGAATATCTAGGATGAAACATTCGATTCATTATACGTTCCAATATAGTCCCATTAGTGCGATTGCAAAATATGATGGCATTAATTTTTATGAAATGTTATAAATTACAATCTAGTAATATTTGTGTCTATAAAAAATCATACGCGCGTACAAATTACAAACTTTTTAAATTAATATTTATTACAGTAAAAGAGATAGCGTAAAAAATTTTTTATCGCGATAATTTAAATGTTATATCGACAGTTACTTTTGTTATCGGAAATTTTTAAATTTAGTATTACGCAAAGTTTAAGCTTAAAACTCTATTATGAATATTAATATTAGTATAATTCTATTAATTAGTAAAGTAAACGTACCAGTGTCCGGACATGTACCTATGTCTGGACACTTATACGAAATTTATTATTATTAATCTCAAATGCTTTTTTTATTACTGTATTATAATTTATTGAATTTAAAAATTAAATTACAATTAAATAATTACGTTTTAAAAAGCGTATTTGAGATCATTATTAACTTAAATAAATAAAGTTTTATGTAAATGTCCGGTCACTGGTACCGGACGTACCTATGTCCGAAGTTACACAAAACTTTATTTATTTAAATTAACATTTAGTCTCAAATACTTTTTACTTTAAAGATCAATTTGAATTAGTTGTCTTTTGTCATTAAACATCTATTTATATCAATATTTCCTGTCAGCATACTAATTTTCAAATTGTAGTCCCAGTGTCCGACCGGCTGTACATTGACACATTCTATTATTATTATTTATTTAAATATTTTAATTAATAATTGTTATAAGCGAGTTCAAATAATTTTTGCTCGCTTAAGGGAGTCTTAAATTTTCAAATGAATAAAAATATTTACAATATTAAAAGCCTTTCTGATATTATAAATTGTATTATTTATGACAACCTACGCTTAAACGTGCAGTTACTGGTACGTTTACCTTAAAGTCGATGGTTTTTTCAACCTTTTTAATCTTTCATTTCTTATGAATAAGTTAATGATATTGTTATTTGCGTTAAAGATTGTACACGGAAAAAATGATTTTGCTGAAATACCTAAAAATTTAGCTAGATATACATGTGAAAATAATTTTGTTAAACTATAAAAATAATTTTAAAGAAAGTATAATAGGACACGAAAATTGTATGAATAATAAAAAAACGACACACATATACGAGTTAAGCATCATCAGTTACCATTTTCAGCAAATTGATAACAAATTGTGATTACATCAGTATAGATTATATTCTTGATGTATACAATTTGTAATCACCTTGCTGAAGATGATAAAATATGCTGAAACATACGATTTAATTAATTATATTTACGTCTTTTAACTAATTTGTGTTAATTTATTATTGCGCATCAAGTACAGCGCTTGACTCATATTAGCCATTTTCTCACTTATTATTTATTAAAATAATCACATAGAACGTTCAAACCGGTTGCTAGAATATCAAATTTTTTTGCAGTGTTCTTGTTTGATGATCTGAAAGATAAATGAAGTACAAGTAAAATAGTTCAAATACAGTTTTATTTCTTTTATTGATAGGAAACAATCTCTTGTATAATAACTTGCATGTGAATTAATATTATAAATGATGACTTTAATTTTAAAGCTTGAAAGAAAAAGCAGTAACTTTCAAAACTAGAAAGAACAGTAGTAACTTTCAAAACTGAAAAGAACAGTAGTAACTTTCAAAACTGAAAAGAACAGTAGTAACTTTCAAAACTGAAAAGAACAGTAGTAACTTTCAAAACTGAAAGGAACAGTAGTAACTTTCAAAACTGAAAAGAACAGTAGTAACGGCAGACTCTGAAAGACAAGAGAGAGAGATTCTCATCAAAGTTGAAACGTCATGTAAGCTCGAGAATAAACTTAGAGTGAGACTTACAGATGCAACAAACAACACGATGTCACAAGATCCGGTCTTCATTGAGTTAGAAGAACGAGAAATATCCGCAGATCTTGAGACAGCACTAATCGTAAGTGAAACGTCCTGTAGGCTCGAGAATAAACTTAGAGTGAGACCTACAGGCTTAACAAGCAACAAGATGTCACAAGATCCGTTCTTCGTTGAGTGTGAAGAACGAGAACTATCCGCAGATCTTGAGACATGACTAACCTTTGTTCGCGAATTTTTTCCGTTATCGAGTTCGGACCTTGTCACGGCTGTGACGATGCCAACTTCCTTCTAATTTTCCTGATAAGTATGATCGTCTAATAGATTGAGTGTCCAAAAGACGCTTCGGCCTCAAGGAACAAAGAACTGGCCTTGCTTGGCAACACACCGCTTCTTTTAGTCTTTCAAAAGGAATGTCATGTAACGTTATAGTCTCTTAACTGGCAGCGGCGACGAGCGCATTTTTTAAACATTTCCGCCCGCCTTCGTTAAAATGAATATTAACGAATAAATCAATTACTTGGAATCGTTGGAAGAGGGCAGAGCTTGACAACAGGTCTTTTTAGTGTAGAGGTTTGAGTACGAACAGTGACAACTCGAACATTTTCATCTTTACCGGGATGTAAAGTAATGATTCTGCCTAAAGGCCACTTGGAGGGAGGATATCGTTCATCCGTAATTAGTACGAGAGTGCCTTCGCGGAGAGAAGGGGTATTTTTATTCCATTTGTAGATGGCCAGATAACGCTGCAGACATTCCTTTGACCAATGATGCCAGAATCTTTCGAGCATTTGCCTGGTTAGTTGCCATCGAGAAAGATGCGAGACTTTGATGGTTTCAAGTGAAGGTTCAGGTACAGTAGTCAATGTACTTCCAATGAGAAAGTGTGCAGATGTCAAGGCTTGGAGATCATCTGAATCATCGGTGAGAGGACAAAGTGGTCGAGAATTAAGCACTGCTTCAACTTGCGTGAGAAAGGTTATCATTTCTTCATAAGTTAGTAGATGATCTCCAACGACTCTTCTTAGATGGTGCTTAACGGACTTAACTCCAGCTTCCCATTTTCCACCGAAGTGTGGTGCTGACGGCGGGATAAATTTCCAGTGTGTACCGTCATTGGCTAAAAGTGATGCTAGATTCTCATGTTCCTTCGAGGAAGCTGAGAACAACTGCTGAAGTTCGACATCAGCTCCTTTCAGGTTCGTTCCACAATCGCTAATTAACGTTGCGCATATTCCTCTTCTTGACGTGAACCGTTTATAAGCAGCGATAAAGGCTTCAGTAGAGCAATCAGTGACAAGTTCGATATGCACTGCCGATGTCGAAAGGCATACAAAAAGGGCAATCCATGCCTTATAGGTTCGAGAATTCCTTCCTCTCCAATTTTTGAGGTGAAGCGGACCGGCATAATCCACACCGGAATTAAGGAATGGCCGAGACGGGATTACTCTTTCCAGAGGAAGCTGTCCCATAATCTGTTGAGCTCGCTTTTGTTTGTATCTGGCACAGCGTACGCATTTCATTATAAATGATCTAATTGGTGCTCGTCCTCCGACGATCCAATAGTTGTTTCAAATCAATGATAGAGTGACTTGGGTTCCTCCATGCATCGTACGTTGATGAGCATCCGCGATAATTAATGATGTGAGTGGAGAATTCCGAGGAAGTATTAAAGGATGTTTACTGCATTCAGGCAAAAGAGAAGATTGGAGACGACCCCCGACGCGTAGAAGACCCTCTGAGTCAATAAAAGGAGTCAAACGTAATAAATGATTCGAGCGTGGTAAGGAGTCGCCTGTGGAGAGAATCCTCTTTTCTTGATGAAAGAACGAATTTTGTATACTTTTGACCCAGTAAATTCTCGCTGTCTCCAACTCTAGTGAAGTTAGAGACGTCTCTCTTGGAGATCTCCGGCGATGAAGCTTAACTC